TGCTATAATGTAAAAAAAAAACATTGAATTTAAATATCATGGTATTTTAGCCTATGAACTCGACAACAATTAAAAAAAAAAATTAAAATCTATAGCCACAGTAGAAGCCGTTGTATGTCCAAATAGGGACCTACACTATAAGAATTAGGGTTTTTTAGGATATTTTTTATGGTGGCACATTTTGAAGGAAAAAATGGATTTTTTTTTGGGGGCGATATTGCTTTGATAAAAAAATTTTTTATTGCCACAAATATTATTTAAGATGATTATTGTCACAATAAATTTTTTTTGAAACTCCACTTGTTATGACGAATTATATTGTCACAAAACTTCGTCGTAATAAGTGGAGTTTAAAAAAAAAATTTTGGCGATAATAACCCGTCTCAAATAATATTTGCGACAGTAAATAAAATTTTCAGGATGGCACCATTACCACAAAAAATATATATATATATATATTTTTTTTTTTTATTTTTTTTTGTGGGTAAAGATTAACATTATTGCTGCAAAAAATTTATCTCAAAAAATCTTGAATTTAAAGCATTTTATAATTGGAGACGAGCATCGCCAAGAATTCTCTAATCCCATAATAATAGCATTTGAGTGCTGGACTACTAATGCCCCTGGCCACACTATAATGCCCACAATCATATGATAAGACAAGCCCCACCATCCATCAAATGTGGTTATCTTCGTATGTTCCCTCGTAAACCAGCATCCACCGACCAAATAAAATGGCTTTCGGTAATATATCATAATTGATATTTGGATTCAACAACAAACCAAATTATTCAAACTCAAGATATGACGTTTTTGTACCTTCATTAAAATCTTCACGTACAATAAAAAAAAAAAAAAAAGTAAATATATTTGAAGATATTTTTAATCCTAATAATTTTTTAACTTGACTAGAGTCTTAACTTCTATTCTCTTTAGAATTTTTTTTTTTTTAAAAAAAATACTCAATTTTTACTAATAAAAACACAAATATCTGAAGGTCCAACTGAGTCAAGCTTGTTTCATAAATTAATAAATTATCCACAACGCATATAAATAGTAATTTAATCTATATGTAATTTACACTTCAAAACCAACAAGCCTATAGTTCGAGTTTGCCCAATTCATAAAAGAATTGTAAACCTCACACTATCGTTTTTTTTTTTGGGGTTAATCGTAAATTACACCAAGAAAATATCTCTCGAATCTCAGTTTGTACATTCAAAGATAAAAAATCTTAATTTATATAAATTTATACCAATGTGCAATAGAACATAACAATTATCAGTTTGTTGTCTAGCTGGATAAGTTATACCTAAACCCCTCAAGTTTGTCACTTAATCATCTAAATCGTTCACATTAAAATATTACTCATACAACTCCTGACGTCTATGCACGTATAACACATAACTTATTGTCATTGATATCTATTAATATAATTGTTAAAAAATATGATTTCATCATAATAAAAAAATATAATTTTTATACTACCTTTTATTTTGTAGGCCTAAAATTAAACTTATAATTTGAATGCTCAACATAATGTTCTTTATATCCAATACAATATTTCACTTGAACATAATTATTTGGATGCCCAATTGGGAGAATATTTTTAATCATATTTAAATTCTCAGGGGATGTAAATGTAATATTTTAAATGTGAGGGTTGTAGGTGATTAAATAACATGTATAAGAGAGTCTAAGTGCAAATTGTCCATTTAGTTTTAGACGACAAATTGTTGGCTGTTAATTTCAAGTGGACATTAATATAAATTTATATCTGTAAAAGTATAAATTAAGATTTTTAATTTTTAAAGATACAAATTAAAGTTCGAACAATCTTTCATGATGCAATTTATGATTAGTCCTTTTTGTGTTTTTTGGGTAGCCGATTCCCCTAACGACAATTTTAGGGGGTGAAACTTGGGACGGACTAACTCGAAAAAAAAGGACTTAGGTTAAAATTTTTAATATTTAGACTGGCCTAGACAAAAAACTCTAACCCGAATATTAAAATCGGGTTGAATCTGAATATACGTAAATATATAAATATATTTAATTAGAATTAGTATTTATTCTCACTTTTTAGAATTTAAACTTTTATTTCATTTCAAGTTTTCATTTCTGCACCTCCATCNCCAACGTGTATGCGCTTCACTTGTATTTGTTCTTGTCAAAGTGTATGTCTGAGTGTGAAAGAGCAGACGAGATACCTGAAAGAAAACGGCCCAAATGTAATCTTGGGCCCCTTTAGCTAAAAGTGTTAATTCAATTTTTATTAGGATAATTAACTTTTTTTTTAATATTTTATAAGCTTTATTATATGTTGTTGTGATCCGTTTAATTTTGGATTTATCCCAAAGTTTGAGTCTGCTATAATGTAAAAAAAAAACATTGAATTTAAATATCATGGTATTTTAGCCTATGAACTCGACAACAATTAAAAAAAAAAATTAAAATCTATAGCCACAGTAGAAGCCGTTGTATGTCCAAATAGGGACCTACACTATAAGAATTAGGGTTTTTTAGGATATTTTTTATGGTGGCACATTTTGAAGGAAAAAATGGATTTTTTTTTGGGGGCGATATTGCTTTGATAAAAAAATTTTTTATTGCCACAAATATTATTTAAGATGATTATTGTCACAATAAATTTTTTTTGAAACTCCACTTGTTATGACGAATTATATTGTCACAAAACTTCGTCGTAATAAGTGGAGTTTAAAAAAAAAATTTTGGCGATAATAACCCGTCTCAAATAATATTTGCGACAGTAAATAAAATTTTCAGGATGGCACCATTACCACAAAAAATATATATATATATATATTTTTTTTTTTTATTTTTTTTTGTGGGTAAAGATTAACATTATTGCTGCAAAAAATTTATCTCAAAAAATCTTGAATTTAAAGCATTTTATAATTGGAGACGAGCATCGCCAAGAATTCTCTAATCCCATAATAATAGCATTTGAGTGCTGGACTACTAATGCCCCTGGCCACACTATAATGCCCACAATCATATGATAAGACAAGCCCCACCATCCATCAAATGTGGTTATCTTCGTATGTTCCCTCGTAAACCAGCATCCACCGACCAAATAAAATGGCTTTCGGTAAAATATCATAATTGATATTTGGATTCAACAACAAACCAAATTATTCAAACTCAAGATATGACGTTTTTGTACCTACATTAAAATCTTCACGTACAATAAAAAAAAAAAAAAGTAAATATATTTGAAGATATTTTTAATCTTATTAATTTTTTAACTTGACTAGAATCTAACTTCTATTCTCTTTAGAATTTTTTTTTTAAAAAAAATACTCAATTTTTACTAATAAAAACACAAATATCTGAAGGTCCAACTGAGTCAAGCTTGTTTCATAAATTAATAAATTATCCACAACGCATATAAATAGTAATTTAATCTATATGTTATTTACACTTCAAAACTAACAAGCCTATAGTTCGAGTTTGCCCAATTCATAAAAGAATTATAAACCTCACACTATCGTTTTTTTTTTTGGGGTTAATCGTAAATTACACCAAGAAAATATCTCTCGAATCTCAGTTTGTACATTCAAAGATAAAAAATCTTAATTTATATAAATTTATACCAATGTGCAATAGAACATAACAATTATCAGTTTGTTGTCTAGCTGGATAAGTTATACCTAAACCCCTCAAGTTTGTCACTTAATCATCTAAATCGTTCACATTAAAATATTACTCATACAACTCCTGACGTCTATGCACGTATAACACATAACTTATTGTCATTGATATCTATTAATATAATTGTTAAAAAATATGATTTCATCATAATAAAAAAATATAATTTTTATACTACCTTTTATTTTGTAGGCCTAAAATTAAACTTATAATTTGAATGCTCAACATAATGTTCTTTATATCCAATACAATATTTCACTTGAACATAATTATTTGGATGCCCAATTGGGAGAATATTTTTAATCATATTTAAATTCTCAGGGGATGTAAATGTAATATTTTAAATGTGAGGGTTGTAGGTGATTAAATAACATGTATAAGAGAGTCTAAGTGCAAATTGTCCATTTAGTTTTAGACGACAAATTGTTGGCTGTTAATTTCAAGTGGACATTAATATAAATTTATATCTGTAAAAGTATAAATTAAGATTTTTAATTTTTAAAGATACAAATTAAAGTTCGAACAATATTTCATTATGCAATTTATGATTAGTCCTTTTTGTGTTTTTTGGGTAGCCGATTCCCCTAACGACAATTTTAGGGGGTGAAACTTGGGACGGACTAACTCGAAAAAAAAGGACTTAGGTTAAAATTTTTAATATTTAGACTGGCCTAGACAAAAAACTCTAACCCGAATATTAAAATCGGGTTGAATCTGAATATACGTAAATATATAAATATATTTAATTAGAATTAGTATTTATTCTCACTTTTTAGAATTTAAACTTTTACTTCATTTCAAGTTTTCATTTCTGCACCTCCATTACTCCCAGATCTCTCTCTCCCTTATCACTCCTCCCTCTTTCACTCTCTCTCTTTATCTGTGTTTTACCCTTCATTTCAGATCACTTGAAAAAATCAAATTTACACTTGAAAAAATTAAATCTACACTTAAAAAAATGAAATCTACACCTAAAAAAATTAACATAAATTAAGTAACTCAAGCTCAATCTAATTTTTAATCCGAAATTAACCCGAATTAAGTAAATTGAATTCAACCTGAATCCGTTTAAATTAAATTTAGGCAAAACTCGAGTTGAATATCTCATGTTGAAGTAAAATTAGAGTTAGCATTAACGTTTAAAATTATATACTTATGGCTGAATTAAAGTGGACCTCTCCACCGCTCGAATTGCACCCCAGACAATCTTAATCCCACAGGCTCATTCGAACAGCGTGTACAACGCGGCACGTGCGTAGCTATCACCTTTTTCACGTGCCACTCCATACAACCACACTGTTACACATATTCGCAAATTCTCTCTCTCCCTCTCTCTCTTCATTCCCCTATTTATTCTGTTGAAGATAGCGTAACCGAAAACACACACACAAACACAGCTATTTCTCAGCTCACTGCAGAAGCAAATCATCTTAAGATTCAGAGAGAGAGAGAGAGAGAGAGAGAGAGAGAGGGGAAAAAAAAATGTCGTCAGTGGTGGAGTTTGCTTCTAAGGAAAGTAGCGATCACGAAGACGGCAACGAACGGCTCGATTTGCTTCACACAACGAATCCAACGGCAGCGAACTTGTCACTCCCAGCTGAGACCTTTCTGAAAGCCGCCATCTCTGTTAAAGACCAGGTATACATCTGAGTTCTTAGAAGCAAAAATGTTTCAGTATAAACTGTAAACAAATAATAATTCAGTATTAATCGAAATATCTTGAAATATTTTAAAAAATAGGGAAAAATATACTTTCAGTTTCCAAATTATGCCTTTAATATTTATTTAGTCTCTAATCTTTTAATTATATTTGTTTGGTCTCTAAAATTTTTAATTTATATTAAAGTGGTCCAAATTTAAAAGTCTATAAAAAAATCGTAAGCACGCGTTAATCACCTAATTTATAATTTTATGTCTATTTAGTTTCTAAAATTTTTAATTTATGTCTATTTAATTTTTAGTATATTTTACCCTTTAAAATAATAGTGAAATATACCAAAATGTTTTTGAATGTGTCAAAACACTTTAAAACAGAAATTTGGTATTGTTTTTATTTTGCTTTTTAAAATAAAAAGTAGAAACAATTTTTGTTTTACTTTATAATAAATATTTTGGTTTTACAAAATTAAAAAATAAAAAATAAAAAATAAAAAATATGTTAAGTCTCCTATTTTAAAACTTAACAAGTTAAATTAATTTGATGAAGTAATAATGTGGTCAATAATACACATTACTTTTATTTTAATCCCACTCTCAATTCAATCTATGACAATTCAATGTCAACCAGAATTTAATCACAAACATAACCCACAGAGAACACAACACAGCACACAGAACACAATACACACCCAGCACACAGAAACACACATACACACACTCACTCACACCCAGCACACAGAAACACAACACAACACACACACACACACACACCCACAGAAACACAACACACACACACCCAGCACACAGAAACACACACACAGCTGTTCTTCTTACCTGCTCAACCTGACATCTCTATCGTCAAAATCGCATAAGCAGACCAATTGACAAATCAAGAAATTGTCAAAACAAGAAATCAAAGTGAAGCAGCCTAGTAATCTACATGTTATCAGCAAAGTGAGAATCTGATCAATGTTGAAATAGGAACTTTAATTTCTTATATTTGCCATTATTTTCTCAGCACCAAACGGAGCAAAAGACAAAGACGAAAAAGAAAAATCTTTCGGCAGAAAGAACTGTAATCAGCCCGTCAATTTTTAGCACACCTGAAAGCAAAATTTGATTTGAAAATACAAAGAGGACTCGACTACACTGATCCAAAATTTAGAGCTGAAATCAAAGAATGCATACAGAAAATCAAAATCAAAATCAAAAAAAAAAAAAAAAAAACAAGCAATTGAAATTAATAGCACAAATTACCTCGTATAGTCAGATGGTTAAAGAGAGGGAGAAAGAGAAGGGGCTTACCTCCCCGTCGGTGAGAGAGAGGAGAGGAGATGGCTGCTCCCCGTCGGTGTCGGTGATGGTGAGAGAACAATAGAGAGAGACGAGAGTGAGGCAGCGATGGTGAGGAGAGAGAAATGAAGTGGGATTAAATAATTCCACCAAAAAAGACTATTTCTGCTGCTCTTCGAAATCCAGATAGCTCATGTTTCTGTTTTGCCTTATTCTCGAATACATCTGTTTTTTTTTTCCTTATTTTTGAGCCTTGTTTTCCAAACAACTTGAAATTTTAATTTCATCTTTGTAAATATTTATATTTCGGCGGTTTGGAAAAGAAGTTTTGAAAAGTAATTAGATGCTTTTTTTTTTTTTTGGATCAAAAAGAAATTAGATGCTTGGTTCAAAGGAATTTTGGGTTTGGGTTGAGCTCATGTTACCCCCTCCGAGCACGTTAGCTGGAACTGGTGACGCTGACGCTTTCCCTTTTTGTTATGCAGGTTGTACAATTCACGTGGAAAAGGGAGAGTGAAGGACATGGCAGTAATGGAACGGACCCAACTGCTTTCACTGGTCTGATTGGGACAGCTATCACCAGCTTGTGGTCCTACAAGACCACCGGTAGTCACCAGGACTTGCTATTGTGCGCCGAGATCGTTGACACGTGTGCCACCGTCGCATGTACTTCCACGAGGTCATCTTTTTTAACTTTACTTTCTACCATCGTCTTTGGGAGACTTTACTGTGCTCATTGTTCAGATGAATCCAAGTTTATGGTCGTTAGTTTGAACGGTTAGGATCAGTTGAGACGTGGAAGCACGTATACTAATCTTTAGTGGACAAGCATGTCCGTGGATAGTGTTGACAAGGGGTTGTTTGGTATTTATTCATATTTGTTTATTTCGTGGCGATTTATTTATAGCACGGGTCTATGATCAATTCGGTTATGAGCCGACCTCAATTAATCAATTAAATTTTGTCTATGATCAATTCGGTTATGAGCCGACCTCAATTAATCAATTAAATTTTGTGTTGAATTCACATATCTTGTTAATAAGTGATGTGCCATTGATTGGGTAGTGTAGGTTGCCTGGATTTTATGGGGTATTTGGCCAGATTGATCACGGAAAATACTGTACTACCCCAGTATTTCTTTTTATATGTGGTCATTCATTTGAAGACGGAAAAAAAAATGAAGCCAAAAAGAACTGCAGCAATGCTAGTTGGACCTAATTTAAAGATTTAATGCATCGCTATCATTAGTGGTGCGTTGTCTTCTAATGAGTATTATTGACAAAATTAAATTGTTCCTTCGGATATTTGATAACTTGGCATTACAACTTAGCTAGCTGTTAAAGTATTTTTTTTTTTTGATCAAAAGCTAGCTGTTAAAGTAGAAATGTTAATATATGGCACAGTTGCATTCTTTTTTGGCATCAATTTCTTATATTTGAGCGCTGGTCCTTGTGATCAATGATATTTTCACAATGAAATTGGGAAATTAGATACTGAAATTTGAGTGCCAATTTGATCTTCTGCTTTTTTGGTAGATTCTTCCTAGTTTTCTGCTTTTAAGTCAGTCATCATGCAAGACTAGCATATGCTATATCCTCTATCCCCAGTGATGTTAGGACCACCTGACTTTTAAAATATCAATTTCAATTATTCTCGTCAAAGTTTCAAGTGGAATACAAAATTAGAATATCTGGCCCAAGCTTGAATGGGAGAGGGCCCTCATAGCTATAATATATCCCAAGATCCCGAGTGCACCGGAGATTTGGTTGTATCAGTGTTGAGGGTGATTATGCCCATTTGAGATATAGTCTAAATCCCAAGGGGTTGGATTTTATTGGTGGAGATATTTCAGTTATCCATGAGACACCTAAATCTATTCTTTTGTTTTTTTGTGTGTTCATTTGGTTTAATTCATCACAGGCACGTGACTTTCTTGTGTGGTAGAGGAGGAGTGTATGCACTTGGTGCTGTGGTAGCAAATTACATTGGGGACCATCAGAAGTGTGGCTTGTATCTGAATCTCTTTCTTGAGGTACTACCAAATATTAACTCCTTTCACCATCAACAGATTAGTTATTAAAATATCCTTTGGTGTCACTTGTCTGAGGCTATCCATCTTGCCTTCACTATAAACAAGGAAAAATATTTAGGTTTGTCTTCTTTTATATGATATTTTTGTGATATTTGTTGGGATCCATTAATGCTTGGTTGAAATTGAGAGAAACTCAATTTAAATCCTCATTTATTTGACAAGAAGGCAAATGAATCTTCCGCTAATGTCTCTATCCTTGGACCGACAATGGGATGTCTGTCTTCCACAAATATCTCCATGAATTCTTGGACTGTAAAATGTGGTCCAATATTTGTCAGTCTGTCCAACAATATTATAAATTTGAAATATCTAATTTCTGTAGGTCTATACAATTTTTGTTTTCGTTGTTATCAAAACCCTTGCGCAGCACCTTAGTGGCCACATGATCACAGTTACACCAAGGTACCAATGATACTATCCGAAGCTTCTAAAATTGCAAGGCCAGGCTGCTCAGCTGGCACTGTTTGTCTGAGTCTTGGGTTTATACGCTCGGCCACAACACGTGGTGGTTGGAAATGGCCGATGTTACCTAGTTACAAACAAGTATGGTTGGGTTTTCTCAGTCATCAAAAGCCTAAAAACAGAGAAGGAAAAAAAAAATACAAAAAAGATGTGAGCATTAGTTTCTTGCCACCTCAAAATGGAGGATCATCAATCTACAATGTGTTTTCAGTAATGTCAAGCACTATGTGTTTTCTTTGTGATGCATTTGCTTTTAAGCTTAACCTCTTCTTCAAAGTTTTGTTAAAATGTGCTGAATAAATCTCCTTCTATGTTAAGGCTTATGTGACCATGTAAACATTGTCAAGGTTGCTGGTTCACCCTTTTGTAAGTCTATAAATAACCTGATATTTCCCTTTGCATCTGATACAAAAGGCAGGCACTATGATGTGAAGGAGCAAAAAAATTCACTAATATGCTTTTACTATATTGTTAATTCCTATGACTAGATCTAATTCTCATATTTTAAACCCCCCCCCCCCCAAAAAAAAAAAGAAAGAACGATGCATGCACAGAAAAGGTGAAGAAAAATTATTCACATTTTGGCACGAAAATATCATTAATATTTTCATATGCTAGGATATTACTGGCTTTTGATGCAATCTCAGATTGCAGCAGCTGCTTGCCAAAATGTTTTCTTACTCTTAATAAACCACAAAATACAAAATATATTTCCAGTCTTTTAAATGCATGTCTGAAATTTAGTGCTACTCTGTATAATGATCCATTTCTGACTGCTATTGTGCATATTGTTGTTAAAAAATACTTTAGAGTAATACCGATAGCTCAACTTGGTAATACTTTGTCCAAAACTCAAGGGAAAAAAAGTGATGCATGTGCACACTATATTGTAGTGAGGGGGCTGGTTTAAAGGAAAGTGCACGTGCAATGCAGAATTGTGGATATAATTATTGTCCCATTGTCTATATGATGCTTGGAATTAGAATGCTTTTTGGTTGCTCTAAATATTGGAATCTTTTGGTTTTCTATATATGTGGTCCTGGACATTAGCCTCTTTTTGGTTTTACCAGCCCTCAGGGAGAACATTAACGACTTTTCACGTGATTGCAACTTCAAGTTTCAGAAGACTATCTGATGATTACAGTGTAGACTATTGCCACAAATTTGAAGAGTTTTAAGGATATTAAGGAATTAAGGATTTTGTGATATGGGGTTGTGACAAACTTGCACAAGCAACCTTTTTTAATTTTGGAACCCAGACATTTGTTGGATATTAGGGAGGTGGACTACTTTTTAAGATGGCTGCTAGTGTCTCCATTATGGTGGGAACCAACACCAACTGGCCTAATTTAAGTGTCACAAGCTATAAGGTTGCTTTTTGAATTTCTGACTTTGACTCACTGACCATTTTGAAACTTTCTTCTTTGATTTTATGAATTCTTTGCCAGGTGCCCATGTTTCTTGGAAAATGCAAGGTTATACTTGTTCCTAAGCTCAGCAAATAGAAGGATGTGGACCTTTTTTTTTTTTTTCTAATTATGTCGCTTGACTCTTTTTTCTGTTTATTTTTTAGTGCATCACTTGACATATTGGGACTGACTCATAACATTTTCTTTGTTGTACCTAGTACCCTTCTCTCCGCTATAAATGACTTTTTTTTTTGGTGGTGAACAGAAACTGTTTAATGGAAATCCTTTATGGTTTTGGAACTTTGCATGCATCAGCAGACTCACATGTCAAATAGAACAATAAAAACACAAAAATGAAAAGAGGAAAAATGAGACTTGACACTCAAATGATGTGATAACGGACGGTACAATAAAATGCTACTTAGGCTGTGCTTCAAGCAAATTGCTGTTTAGCTTCACTGAAAAAACATAGCAGGGATTCATCTTACTTATTCACGGAAGCTTCCAGACCACATCAATGGTGCCTCCTAGTCACCTATAGGCTATATCCCACACAGTTTTCATCTTGAATATCTCTCTATTATACTAAAAATCACAGAATTGTGATAATAATGTGTGTTTACTTGACACAATTGTTGTTGATGATGTTAACAGTGGTGATGATTCTAATGCATACCTCATTCGTGATATCCAGGTGGCACAAGAAAGAGCCCTGCCCATTGGACCTGAGGAAGGTGGTTTTGGAATGTCATATGATCTTCTTTATGGGCGTGCTGGATTTTTGTGGGCTGCTTTGTTCATAAACAAGCACCTTGGGCAAGAGACAGTGCCCAGTGATCTTCTCATGCCAGTTGTTGAGGCTGTGTTAGCAGGAGGCAGAGCAGGGGCATCGGATAACACCACCTGCCCACTGATGTATAGATGGCACGGGACTAGGTATTGGGGTGCAGCGCATGGCCTTGCAGGCATATTGCATGTATTGCTTCATTTCACTCTCTCCAAGGAGGATGCCGAAGATGTCAAGGGAACCTTAAGATACATGATGAGTAACAGGTTCCCTCATAGTGGGAATTACCCATCAAGTGAAGGGAACCCAAGGGACAAGCTGGTGCAATGGTCTCATGGTGCAACCAGCATGGCCATCACACTCTGCAAAGCATCGCAGGTTTGCACTTCTATACATTGAGTTTATTTAGCATCACAAATTTGTTTACTCTAGTGCATTGAGTCTACTGACAAAATTCAAACTCAGTAAGGAGCTGTCCATAAGATTTAAGAGAAGGGTATTATAGTTTTTCTTATGAATTGTTGTCTAGGACTAAATGGCCTGTTTCCTCTGCTAACAGCATCTACTCCATGCCCCCCCCC